TGTTCAGATTCCACACATTAATTCATTAAAGAATCAAACATTTTTCTTTTTCATGTCCAATTGGTCAGAGGGAAAAGTGAAGAGGCAAAAAAATATATATATCCACATTATTGTATGTCGTGTGTGATGTTTTTAAACTCTGTTATTGTTCGGGAAACCACATCATCTGCTGGTTTTAGTGAACCTTCATTTAGAAAACCCAAGGTCAACATACATCCTTCAGGAAATTTTAACTAGAAGCGGTATTGAACTTGGTGCTCAATACCTTTATGAGTCTCTCACCCTGAGCTGTACAGCTGCAAGCAACGTTTTTCCTACTTTGTATACTCCCTTTGTTATATTACCAACCAAACTTTAGCTTTAACAGACTAGATGAATTATAATGCAGCAAATTCACATCTATCATGTTTTAGTTAACTTTGTAATAAAGTTTTTTTTTTTTTTTATCTGCTCTATACATCTCTGTAAGCTGTTTTTTTAAACACTATTTGTCTAAAAAGACAACATCTCTGAATCTAAACACTTTACTCTGGCTTTATTCTGCTGCCAGCATGCTACCTCACACCTTTAATACAAGCCTAAGGACTGAAACAGAAGCTTTGTTTATTCTTTTACACAAAGACTGTACCAGGTTTTTTTTTAAGAAGAATTTATATACACTAAAATAGTCCCCTTTTTTTTTTTTTTATAAAAAAAAAAACATTGACCAGGCAGTGTTTAATAATCATGCACTGTTCAAAAGCAAAATAAAAAATCAACAACTGATACTCTGCTTCCAGCAGAAGAAACATTTTATGCTGAAAATCATTTTAAAGATAAAATACCAGCAGCTGTGTTTGCCAGAATTTTACTGTAGTAAATACAGCTGTAGTGTACAAGACATAACGGTATAATATTTTACAAATTACTACCTAAACGCCTCAGAACAGTAGCCTGTTTATGGAAGATGATTATAGAACCCATATAGGACTATATATTGTAAGCACGCATAATAAGTCTACATCAGTTAAAAGCACATAAAAACTGTAAAATGCAGTACAGATTTATTTTTTAATTCAAACTGAAGAAGATCAAAGTCTAAAACACAAAAGCATAATTTAGCTGTTATATGTAGGTTATATTGGTCTGTATCCATATGTTCTGTTTTAATGCATGGTAAGTAAATAATATGAGCCAATTAATTTTTCATATAGTACCAGCATGAATTTAAAACTACTTTCACCCGTGCTTTTAAGTTCTGTCCATGACTTCATGGCACAGAATAATGTCTTAGTCCTTCCCTTGAGCAGGCAGAAATGGTGGGCACCAAATACTTTCTTTTCTTACATAGCCTAGATTGATTCATTTTCTTCTCTTGTGTTTCCCTTTTTGCATTTCATTTTCTCTAGTAAAGAGGGAAGGATAGGGGAGCGGGATCCTGGTGGACTGGGACACAGCTTGTCTTTTATTGGTCAACATAGTGGAGCTTCAAAAATATACAGGCTTTGCGTCCTGTGGATTATCTCATTGGTGTTCCTATGCTCTGGGGGTGTGGCCACAATTTCAACTGTTAAAGGGGCACAGTTAAATTAAGATTTAGATTTAACATGATCTGTACATAATACATAATGATTACCTGCCATTCTGAAACTCCACTCCTCCTTGATGCCTTTTCCTCTCCCTCTCTGTGAGCCGAGACATGATTTCCATCCTCCTGTTGGATATCATCTACTATTATCAAATACTCACTTACCTCTTTTCCATAGGACTTGGTGAATCAAGGGTACCAGTCCAGATTCTGTTTATAATGGTATTCATCTCTATACTTATTCAGTAGAAACCCATGTCCTGTATTTAT